GCTCTCTGGAAGAGCAGTCAGTGCTTTTAACTGCTGAGCCATCTCTCCAGCCAGTAGGCAAGTACTTAACCATCTCACAAATCCCAACAATGTCTTTTGAAAAGCAAAATTTGTCAATTAACAATTTTGACAGTTGAGCTTTTTGACAAAGACATTCATACTGAACACGAGATTACCAAAAACTTCTCCTACATTTGTTCTTGGAAGTACGGCCCTCTGTTCTGGCTTAGCACTGGTTTTATTCATAGCCCCGTACAGGCCTTGCTTCCTATTGTGTTTGTTTGTTTTTAGCTTGTGCCGAGAGTTGTGTGTATGTAGTGCATGTATGGTTCTTCATGAATGAGGTGCACATGTTCCTGTGCATGCCACGTGTCTCCTCCATTGCTTTCTACCTTCATGCTTTGAAAAGTGGTCTCTCACTGAACAGGGGACTGTTTTGATTAAGCTAGCTGGCCAGTGAGCTCTTGGGACCTGCCTGTCTCAGCAGATCCCATCCTCTAACCTCCAACCCTGGTGCTGGGATGACAGGCTTGTGTAGAAATCCCAGCTTTTTCTATGAGTATTGAAGATTCAAGCTCAGCAAGTGCTCCAGCCCTCTGAGCTCTTCTTTGTGAATCTCATCTCTGATGACAATTCTTTCTGCCCATGTACAAATAAGACTTAGCAGGACAGTGGGTCAAAACACACAGGATATCAAGATTGTGTTAGAAATTAAGGTTGATGTACTTGTTCTATCTTCTAGTGTAGGAGTTTTAGCAAAAAAACAAAACAAAACAAAACAAAACCCCCAGAATAATAGTAATAATTTATTGAGTATACACACCTTAAGATTGTATAAAGAATGCTTAATGTGGCAATGCATGCTTTTAATCCCAGCACCTCAGGAGACAGAGGCAGGTGGATCTCTATGAATTTAAGGTCAATCTAGTCTACATGATGAGTTCTAGTTGAGCCAAGGCTACATAGTGAGATGTTACGAGCATGTTTTTTTCCTGCTGGCCTGGTCCCACTGCCGCACCAGCCCCAAATAACACACAGAGACGCTGTATTGGATATCATTCTGTTGGTCTGTTACTAGCATTTCTTATTGGCTAGCTCTGTCTTAAATATTAGCCCACTTCTATTAATCTAAGTATTTCCTTGTGGTCTTATCTTACTGGAGAGAGGGGCTGGCATTCTGTTCTCCCCGCCCTACATCTTGAATCTCCTCCCTACTACTTTCCATACCCTCCTTGTCTCCTAGTCCCGCCTATCTTGCTTTCCTATTGGCCAACAGTGCTTTATTCATTAACCAATATAAGAAACATATTTACAGAATGACATCTCCCTTCAGCGAGATACCATCTCTAATAAATAAATAATTCAATAATGAATATTTTATACTAAAACTACCTTGTACAGTTGGGTCTATTATCTGGAAGAGAATATTGTATCACAAAGAAGTTAAATAACTTGTTCATACTGAGGTTTAATAAGGATCAGGAGACACAGATAGGCCGAATAGATATTTATTCAGGGAGAAATAACTTGCAACATAGACAGATGAACACCAGCAGGTTCCTGGTCCCAAGGATGCCTCCGGATGCTCTCCTGTCCCTGTGCTGCAAGCGAGAGATCTCCCAGAGATCCTTCCTCAGACTTCGTTCCCCCAGGTAATGTCTGCCCCTGTGCCCACCCCCAATAGGCGTGGTCTGTGCCACAGGTGCGGACAAAGTATCTCACTACATGTTCAGGCCATCTAGCTAGGTCTGTCACACACTAAACCTATGTTCTTAATCACTAACAAACCAACTAGCACACAGTGGCTACATAGCCTATGACAGGCATTGTGCCAGGCTTTTGAGGAGCATCAACTAACTTAATGTTCAGAACATACATAGCTAGATGGTAGTCATTAACATGTTTTTTGCTGTTGAAGAAACTGAAGTGCTAAGACCCAAGTTTCCACAGCCTACTAAGAGCAGAAGCAGGATTAAAGCCCACACCATGTGTGGTAGAGCCATCCTACCACACATTTTCTCTAAGAAGAAAAATTAGTGATATTTTCCTGGACTAAACCAGGAGGGTCTCTTATTCAATAATGTCATAACATGAAAAATAGCTTTTTAAAAAATGTACTTCCTGTGGCACCTGGCCCTGCTTGTGGCTATATTTTTGAGTATCCACAGTGGTGATAATCTGAGCTATATATAAGCTAGCAGGGGAGCCCAGGGCAGAGGACTACCTCCCTGGGTAGCAGAAGCCTCAGGATTGGAGCTTGAGCTGGGAGCCCAGTGAGGAGACCAGCTTCACTTGTGTTCTCCAGTCTGCTTGTGTCAATACTGGCTTGGCAAAGGTGAGGACAGGGTCAGAGAAGGCCTGGAAAAGAGACATTTCAATTGCTCACAGCCTTTCTCCTAACCTGCCGCAGGATGTGAGGCAGGGGTATTTAGAGTAGAGAGAGGCTGATATGGGCTTAAGTACAAACTTGGTTAGTCTGGGCTCTAGTATTGCTTTTGGCCAGCTTTGTGACTTGAGTGGGGTACTTTTACTCCTCCCAGTGCCACAGTTCTCTTATATAAAAATGCCCAGGAGGGCACACTCATTAATTTCCAAGGCCTTTCCCAGCTCTCACATTCCTCACGACCATGATTCTGTGATTAAGTTCCTGGAAGGTTTAACTACTGATAAAAGTGCCATTAAGTTCTGTATACTCAGCAGTGGCAGCTGTCTGTTACCTAAGATACCCAGTCTGGTGGGAGACTGGGGGCAGGCTGAGTGGACAGGAAAGGTCCCTTGTCTTCCGGATGGCTCGTCACACTGTAGATGGAGGGAGGGCCACCTGCACTGGCCCTGATAACTGAGTTTCCTTTGATTTCTGGATCACAGTATACTAAAGCCAACCATCAAAGACACTTTCCCAACAAGAGAACCTTATGCAATAAGTTCCCCAGGCGAGTGACTAGAAATAATTGACACAGGACAGAGTGGGTCACAAGCAGTAAGACTGGGAAGACATACCAATTTGTGGGGGTGAACTGGCTGACCCACAAGCCCATCTGTCTATCATTCCATGACCTCAGGTCAGACTCACAGAAAGAGAGAAAACTATTAAGGCAGCTGGGCAGGCTCTTGCCCTCAAGTCTTAGCAAAGAATAGGTGATTATTTGTCCCACATGGGCTAGTTGTTCACCTGCCTGAAGGCACCAAGCCGGAACTTTAGAGTCTGTGACCTGCTGGGATATACATTGCTTTCCTCCATGTTTCTGCTTTCAGAGGGCTGCTTTCCATGGGGCATAGGAATCCCGTAGGAAAAACAAGACAAGGAACTAATTAAATATATATATAAATTCTCCAAATGGTGGTCTAATTCTTGTTCTCAGACCAAGCTCTTACTGTCTTCCAGTTGTTTGAAGAAAATCAAGCAGAATTCTTATTCAAAGCAAAGTGACATATCACTATAAAATCGTAGAGATGGGGGAGCAGTGGTGGTGCATGCCTTTAATCTCAGCACTTGGGAGGCAGAGACAGGCAGAGCTCTGTGAGTTTGAGGCCACACTGGTCTACAGAGTGAGTTCCAGGATAGGATCCAAAGCTATAGAGAAACCCTGTCTCGAAAACAAAACAAAACAAATCCTGGAGCTGAGGCCAGGATGGTACTACAATAGGGATCCACTTTAACCCCAATTACAGAGAGATCATAACATGCCAGGCTTGGGTTAAGATCTTTTAGTCTCTTTGTATGAATGAGTCTGGGTGTTTGGCTTTGCCATTGTCTATAGGGAGTGTGGACAAGCCATTCAAGTTCTTTCTGCACACCAATTTTTAAGACTGTAATATGGGAACAAATACATTTAATGAAGCAAAGTAGCATGCAGTTTTAATGACTTTTAAAAAGTTTCAGTGCAGATAAAGCATCAAGCAAGCAGGAGGTGCTTAGTAAGTGGTCACGTGGTCACTGACAGGTTCCGATAGTGTCTTTGTGATAGTGTCTTTGTGTTCTCGGAGGCAATACTGATAGGGGTCCTTAGTTACTCTTGCAACCTTGGAACCTAAGGCAGGGCCTGGCATGCAGTGGGTGCTCATTTGATATGGTCCAACGTGTTCTCTGCAGGAAAACACTAGGAACATTTACGGATTACAAAACTAATAAATGCTAGACCAGAAGAAAAGGATAAAAATGCTGTAAGCAGGAGGTGTTGAGACCCACCTAGCCTAGGGCAGAGCAGGAGAAACACACCTTATTCAAAGAAAAACACCTAATTCTAAATGACATAGCAAGTATAAAAAAGACAGAATTGATATGGTACTCTATGTTCTATTCAGAAGGCAGAAAAACCCTTTTCAGGGGACCAGGGGACATTGACAATAAAGGACCCAGAGGAGTCGTCTGTTAACATCCCGAAGGAAGCAGGACCTGGATGGATGTAAATGCGGTTCGGCTAGGAACTAAAAACAACAGGACACACGAGTCTTTTTTATCAGGACTCCCTCTTCAGCACTTCTGGGAAGGAAGATATCAAAGGGATATTGTATAATAACAACTGTACATGTTCCCTCCCCAAGGGTCATAGCTAAAGAGTGACAAAGCAGACGGCTAAAATCTGGGTCTCCTAAGTCATCCAGTCACAAATTGGGCTAGGAGTGCCCCCAAAGTCTTTGTCAAAAGGCCTCAAGAGCCCCTTCAACATCAGTGGCTGGTCCCAAGCACGTGGGGGAGGGGAGGGATGTTGGGCTTGCCAGAGGAGCAGTGGCTGTTTTCTGGGATGCACGGAAGAGTGCGTGTCCAGAAGGTGGCAGCAGAGGGCGCTGGGACCCCGGCCTGGGCCCGCTTTTGCCATTGGTCCGGGCTGGGGCTCTGGGTTGTATGTAGAGTTGGTGGAAAGTGACAAGTTTGGCGAGAAGAGAGTTCGCTGAGAGCTGGAGGAGCCGCCGCTGAGTGAGCCCAGAGTCTGCAGCCCCAGGCACCCGGCACACTTCTGGAATCAGAGCCGGAGACTCACGGTGCGCTAGAGCGACCGGGACAGCCTGAGACTGAACGGCCAGCCGAGGCGGGGCTACTTCCGAGTACCCGGAGAAGCCGCGCTCTCGGGTCCGAGGCGGCTGGGCGGAGGCGAGGGATCAGGTCAGAGGGACAAAGAGCTTTGCAAAGGTCCCCCGATATCCTGCGGGCGGGACGAGGTGGCCGGGAGACCAGGGCGACCCCGTGGATGTTCTGCGCGCCGCCAGGGAGCCACCGCCGCCGCCACGAGAGGAGGAATGCACCGGCCGCGCCACCGCGGGACGCGCCCGCCACCGCTGGCGCTGCTGGCCGCGCTGCTGCTGGCCGCACGCGGGGCTGCTACCCAAGGTAAGCAGCGCCCGCGCCCGGGTTCCACTGTCCGTTCCATAGAGCTGGGTGGCCAGCAAGCGTCTTGCCCACCCGGGAGCAGGGCATTTGGCCGCCGCCAGCACCGGCCGCCGCCAGGAGGCCAGCAAAGACTGGTCCTAATGCTCGGCTGCGGGATGGGGTGCACTGGGGGACTGGTCCTCGGTGTCAGCCTCGGTTGTCAGCGCTGACAGGAAATACAGAAGGACTTGGAGGGGTCTTAGGGTGGGTGATGCTGGTCCTTTGCCTATCGCTCTCTGGATTCCTAGCGCACCCCGGCTAGGGGTCCAGTTTTTCTACTTCTCTGTCCTGGAGGGAGTTTGCATTTTCTGTGTTGCCTCCGACTGAGCCCAGGCAGTTCGCGAACTCGGGCAAACAAAAGTCCTGTGCTCCCGGGGACTCCCTCGGTCTCGCATCTCTACCGCCTGGCGTTCGGAGCCTCCTGCCCTCCAGAGGGTCACTCTGCAGGCCAAAATATTTGCTCCGACACTGCCACTTTGGGCAAAGTATGCAGTCAGAGGCAGCTCGCTGCCTCAAAGTGCTCTGGGTGTGGGTGTGCACGTTCGTGTTTGTGTGTGTGTGTGTGTGTGTGTGTGTGTGTGTGTGTGTGTGTGATTCAAGGCGAAAGAAGGAGGAGACATCTAGTGCATATTTGATTTTGGTCATCTCCAAAGATAATGGTAACAGAAGAAAAACTCCACCATCAGCCAGATCTGTCTTAGTTCCCTGCGGGAAGCTTGGATCCTTGCTGCGTTTGAGCTGGTACACAATGAGAGGGAAGAGCCTGCTGAGCTAGTGGAGACAACCAATTCATTCTTTGGAGGTTGGAGGGGGAAAGTTGATTAAAGTCTCCGGGGGTCTTGGGCCTCACTTTTAACATGCATCCCCTGAGGGGGCGTTGGAGCCCCTGGATTCTTCCCGCCCTCACTTCCAGCCCCAAGGCTCTGTAGATAAATAAGTCCCTGCTCTTTTATCATTCACCTCGCAGCCAGTTAGAGTCCAGTTTACTTAATAGCTGGGAAATGCTCCATTCACTGATTGACTGCCGAATTCGTCTTTACTATAAGTTAGGGGCCACTTTCTTGGTACTGAACACTGCAAGGAAGATGGGTGCGGATTTTGATCTTCTGGATATGACTTTGGGACTGGAGTTCCGAAGTGTGGTTGCGCTAATCTCAAAGCCTCATGGAGTGTGTGTGTGTGTGTGTGTGTGTGTGTGTGTGTGTGTGTATACGCGTGCGCAGTTTCTAATTGTCATTAAGATGCGCATCTGCAGGGATTTCTTGAGGGAAACCCTGATGAAATGTAAACAGTTTGGTCTCATGGATGTTTTGTTTGGTGATGCCAAACATCTGGCTCTGTGCCACTACACCTGGATGGAAAGTAGAAAACAGGCCGAGCTGCTGACCGATGTAAACATTCTCCTGAGGTCCATGGTCCAGCACAATCGGGATGGTTCTACCTAAGTAAGGCTGGGTTTCTGGCATGGGACTGTGATTAATTCCATCATTCCCGTGGGCTCCTTTTATATTTAACCTTTCAATAGCCAGTGCTTTTTAGGCCACAGCCTCTACTGGTGGGGATGGGGTGGAGTGGCGTGAGGATGTTGGGTTGTTCACTTTTTTTCCGTCATCTGTTTTTAAATAACCGTCCACGCAATGAATTTTCGAATGTAAACCTACAATGTTGTCAGCAGCTACCTCAAATTTCCCCGCCTTTAACTGTGAACTTTCAAGTGTTAGAAAGTTCATTTTACCTATTCCTAGTCTATTTTCTAATAATGGGCTCAAACTGTTGCTGTCTTGCCATCTCTTAAATCCCTTTCCATTTTTTTGGTAAAATCTTGATCTCTGTTCTGGCCTGAGGTTTCTGAGGCAACCCTGTCAGTGGCTCAGGAAATCAGCTTAAGGGGAGATATATTTTATTTATTAAGTTGTTAAAAAGGGTGGGGGGTGTGGATCAGTATTCCTCCCATCATGTTCCTATTTGCTTGGCAGGGGGGAGAAAGCCTTTATATGCATAGTTTTTAGCCTGCTTGTTCTCCACCCTCCCTGCTTCCTCCTACCTATCCAAAGCTGAACTTTGGAAGAGCTCCAGGTCATTGGAAACTACTTGAGCCTTTCTCAGGATCCTGCTCATCTTGTGTTTTGGCTGCTTGAAGCCAGAGGAGAGTGTCCTAAGACTCTGCTGTTATTTTCCGAGTTTCCAACTGCCATATCAGTAGGTATCTGTCCCTACTACATTTGGAATAGGAGTCTCCTGAGGGCCATGAGCCTGTCAGCTTTGTTGGTGAATGAATACACTGAGTGCCTAAGTCAATCAGCCTCAGCTTTTATTAGGGATGCCTGTAAAATCTGACCTCAATGGCTAGGGGGCACCACGGAGTCAGGATAGGTGGGGGGTTGTGGTCAGACTGCCTCTGGCAGGGCTCACTTATTAGTGATTTATTTATTGGAAAATATAGTAGGCTGTTTTGTTCCTCTAATGTCTGGAGTTATTATCTAATACTTAGGAGTTGTTCTATTTTATTTTTGTGAGTGTGTGGTGTAGGGTATATGTATGTATGTGTTTCTGTGGGTGTGTGCACATGCATGTGGGTATCTGTATGAAGCCAGAGCTCAGTGTTGAGTGTCTCCTTCAATTTTCACCTTGTTTTTTGAAACACGATCTCTCACTCAACTTGGAGGTCATCTCCCCAACTAGGCTGGATAGCCAGTGAGCTCTAGGGATCTGCTTTGTCTAGGCCTGGGGTTACATGTGCACATCCAGCTGAAGGCTGGGAATCTGAGCTCAGGGCCTCATGTTTGCACGGCAGGCAATTTTGTTTTTGTTTTTGACTGAGTCATCTTCCAAGAACAAGAGTTCTTTCAAAAACTCAGTTTTGATCTATTATATTCTCTGACTTCTGCAGGTGAAAATAGGCTCCAAATTAAACTTTAAAAAAGTTCCTAAATACATGCCACTTGCATCCAAAGGGATGTTTTGCCCATGGTTTGGTGACAAGCACCTACACCGTTTCAGATATTTGAAATATATATATATGTGTGTGTATATATATACACACACACATATATCATATTCTGAAGGATCAATACTTTTAAACCGATGAACACTGATATAAATGTCTATTGGCAGAGAAATGAACTACACACACACTCAATTATATTAAGGGGGCACAGTTTTGCTGAGTGAATTGAGGAGAGAGAAACTTTTTCAATATAAGTACTAGTATTTCCTTCACTTAGTTAAAAAACACAGCCCAATAATCAGAGATTAGAGATTACTCCTTTTCATTCCCCATCTTCTGGTACAAAGGGTAGTATTAGGGGAACCTAACAGCAGAGCCCGATGACTGTAAGTCAGACCTGGTTTTGAATCGTCCCTTTCATATCAGGAGTTTTATAAGAACTTCATGAGATTTAAATAAAGCTGTGAATGTCAAGTGCTAGGGAAGAGCCCCCAGCCTAGAGGTGCCTGCATTGAAATTAACTAAGGATAGCGGCAGAGAATTCAGGAGGTTCAACTCTCCAGAAATAATATACAAGATTTCACATGTATGTTGATAGACGTAGGCTTATACTATAATCAGATTTTCCAAGAAATGGCAACATTGGAAAGATAGGGGCTACTGACTTCGAGCAAGGGATGCCTGGGAACTGAGCTGCCTGCTTGGGGAGGGTAAAGGAGTAGGATGTTGATGGTAGGTTCTTGGCCTCATTCCAGGTCAGCCACTCTATTGAGCTTCTCTCTTCCATGTCCCTTATTGTCTCTGTCATGGGCTGGTAATTAGGCCCATGAGAAGCTGATGGATGGTCTAACGTCTTGAGACCTCAAATTAAGCATGCATCTCTTGAATCCAAGTGCTCTAAGATGCTCCTATTCCTGTAATTTATTTCACAGACCCTTGGTGCAATCCATTTAATGGGCTAGCTGCCTGTGAAGGTGAAAGTAAAACTAGTTTATTATACAGATGGGTCAGTGAGGCGTGGAGATGGTCAGTTACTTTCTCAAGGTCCCATGGCCAGGGGATGGCTTTGCTGGGCTTTGTAATTCCTGACAATCAATGTTATCATCCCTGACTTCTGTCCTACATAGTCCCTTCTGGTTTAGTTCTTGTACTTGCCCTCCTTGAATGCCTGGGGCAGGGGTGATGCTTTGTTAGGTTTTTGCTGTCTTTGCCATCTCTTAGAGGGTATAAGAAAACGATGAGAGCTAGTGAAGTTCATTGTTCCTGTTGTGTAGCAGTGCCTCCTCCAGCCTTGCTGTTAGCACAGAGACAGGCTGAAAGTGCTGGGGATGGTCAGGGCCTCTTGGTCTAAAAGACTGCATTTCTGCAGTGTGATAGTGCCACTCTGCTGCGGTTTGAGGAGTGTGTCTGGTAGTTCCTTTCCGCTAGTGATGAGATGTCTTTTGATGGAGTATGTGTGCACTGCATTTGGGTGCATTACCAGGGGTGGAAGTGGAGGAGGATTGATTTATTAGAGTGCTGTCTAGAAGGAGAATGGACTGTTAGCTCAGGGTCCCAGTGAGGAGCGGATCCAGGCAGGTTCAGCTGTAGCTGAAAAAAAAAAAAAAAAACTTGACTGTTCCAGGCTCTTTCTCAAACAGAAAGTCCTGGGCCTGGCTTCACTGAGTGTCTGGGTTGTGACAGGAGAGATGGGTCTCTGGACACGCAGGAGGAGAAAGGAACAGTCTTCTAGGACTCCGGGAAAGTTCTATGATTGAAGGGGGATGGGTGAGGGAACCGCTTCGAAAATCTTTAACTAAATGCAGCTGCTTGTTACATGGAGCCCGACTTGCATGCCAGGAATATCTCAAAAGCTAACGAATACAAAATAAAAATAAACAGCAGGAAAAAGGCTTGCTCTTTGTTGCAGTAAGCTTGGTTGAGGTTTTCAGTTTGTTTAGGAATGGGATAATTGTGGCATCCACTTTATTTTGGTAAGGCAATGAATCGCGATGGGTGTGATGTCATCGGGGTG